GCTGTTTGTAGTGTGATGATCTTGTAACAACAAGGATGCAAATAAATAATAAAAACATCATATACTTAAAATAAGGTGTGAATGTTTGGAATAATAAAGTTCTTAAGTCTTCATTTTAGCAAAGTTCAAATCCATGTTAATGACTTTCTGTCAAGCTGTTAACTTGAGTTGTTTAGTTACTTTTTGTCAATTTTCCTCTCTTGCTTATTTTCAACCCACCTGCTCTTCCTGGTCATCGATCACAACCAGGTCAGAGCCACGACTACCACAATCCTCTCTGCTCTGATGCCAGTTCTTTTTGACAGTAGAGGACTCGATGTAGGAGAAGAAATAGCAGGACGAGTTGAAAAGAGCCCAACCAGGGAGGCATCCGCCACAAGATCCCTCTGAGAGAAACAAAGGATATGTCATCTTCTCAAGTTAACACAGTTCAAGAAAACATAAATAATAATAAAATTTTCTCACCTAAAGCTGATATGTTGGACTTCAGGTTTTCCTTCTCCATTTGCAGTGCTTGCATCTGTTTCTGATAACCATCATTGACGGTCTTCAGCTCCTCAATTTTCACCTTTACTTGTTTGTGGTTGTTGATCGCGCTCTCTAACGCCTTCTTGGCCTCCTCTTCAGCTTCAATCACATCGCTGTGGTTGCCTCGGAGATAGTCAAGCTCATTGAAGAGCTGTGTTACAGCTGGGTTGGAAATGTGCAAGGAGTCCTCTTTGACTTTGGCACCTAAACAGGGAAACATATTATATTATATTATATAAAGCATGTAATAATCAACTAAATGTTGGATATTATAGCAAAACTGTTTAAAAATGATCGTCATGTTTAAATGGAAATGAAAGTATTTTGCAATCAACAAAAAAAGGCATCAGTTCTCCTTATGGGATTACTCAGGGTCGACATGCATTGTGAAATTGTACAGAAAAGGGAAAATGAAATTGTTAGGTCACACAAACTCTCATACTTACAGTTAATCCCAAGTACAACAGCGGATATAAACAGAACTGTGTTCAAGAGTCCCAGACACAGAATAACCCACTGGTTAAATCCATCTCCACCTATAATAGAGGGTCACACATACATTTTAATGAGAAAAAATGTGTCTGAATTCAGATAATATTGCTTTTTTGGGGGGAAAGATTTTAAATAATTAAAACAATTTGAATTCTCCAAAAGCTGATTCTGTTCATCTGGAAAACGCTACGTCCAGATGAACAGAATCAGCTTTTGGAGATTTACTTACCTGGATGATTGAGCATGCAAGAAAACAATCTGAATTCATTTTTAATCAGGTTGTTGTTGACAGCAGCCGACAGCTCAAGGGTGCAGCAAATAAATGAAAAACCAGAAATTCAGATGACGTAACTCAGAAGGTATTTTAGCTCATTTTGAGTTTCACACTTTTAAATATATTGAATGTAATATTTGATGATTATTATGATGAACCTGAACTACTTTCCTTGTTTCTTATTAGTAAGGATTCTTCAATCATTAAAATCTAAACAATGATGAATTCAACAGAAAGTATAATAGAAGGCAACATATAATTTTAAGACCATACCGTTTCTAAATATTTTATAGTTGTTGAAGGAAAATGATCCTGTCTTCTGCTGTGTCTCCATTGTGCTGCTGCAGGTTTTGTGCACTGCTCTGCTTTCTTCTGCCTTAAATACACGTGTGGGCATGTCCCATAGTCTCATTTCCTCGGTGTCCTACACTGTAAAAAAAAATC